TATATGTATATGTATATATATATGTATATGTATATATATATGTATATGTATATATATATATATATGTGTGTGTATATATATATATATATATATATATTCAATGCCAAATCAGTCTTTTACAATCATAAAATCTTCAAAAACATTCAGAAAATGTTTTAGGACGTGACAGGAGCAGCCAATGGGAATCTGTGGGAAGAAAACGATCAGTAGGCTGTTCCAGTTCAATAAATGACTTATATTCATGACTTATCTTATATTCATGTTTGAAAAGTTACATCAAAAACAGCTTTACCTTGTGCTTTCAACCCATCAAACTCACAGTGCGACCACAGCTGCAACAATGAGTATGTTTACATGGACATCAGTAATCTAATTATTTAGCCTACCTTATTCTGTATAAGACAATATTATTAAGGTGTTTACATGAGTTGCTTTTAGAATATTCCTTTCATGTTTCTGTTTACATAGATCGATTAATGGCACACGTCATTACGTTCCCACACGACGCCATTCAACATTCCCTCAGTGGCGGCTGGTCAATAGGGGGCGCTGGGGCACCGCCCCCCTCAAGATAGCCAGGGAAGAAGCCAACTTCAACGTGTTAAAATAAGTTAAATATATATTGCTAAATAATCATAATATTCAATAATAATTATTTAGTCATACTATTTGACTGGTAGTCATGTTAGCACCTATAAAAAAAAAAAAAAAAAAAAAAAATTCAAAAATAAACCACACACAAAGAACTCCTGTATCACCATTTACTATTTTGGGGATTTTCTCTCTCTTTATACAAGATCTAGTTGATGCAATGCACAAGTAGTATGCTTTTCATCTACATGGATCGAAGTCCTTTTAGTCTTCAGCGTTGCGGTCCTCAATTGACCCTCACAGCAAATGTATGAACACACAGTGATGCAAAACAGGCTACTGAACTCGAAGTGAATGAATAATTACGGATTCTCCAAACGAACCGAGTCTTTTCCCTCACAAGCATCACCAAGTGCTGTCCGTTTTCATTTGATTTCGATGCGTTTCCCCTGCTTCGTTTCGCCGTCCGCACTCCCTCCTCCATATCTCCGTCTCCTTTCAGCACGCGGTTGAAATATACAGACTTGCCCAAATAATGAAAACATCAACAAACTGAGAAGAGCAAAGTGATTTTTCTGTTATCTATTGCTTGTATTGAAATAAGCTTAAAAATAAATGAATATCAAGGGAGGAAAACAAAGAGTGAGTATCTTATAATACAGTTATAACTAGATTGAACACTGCTGTCGGAATCTCTTTACACAAAATTGTCAGGAAAAGCAAATGTATGTGCTTCGGAGGAGGAACATTTATGGTTTTTAAAAAAAATACTGTTGGAAATTAGGCGTCCATGGCACCAACATGTCCAGTGATGGGAGCGGATTTCTCAAAAACGGAAACGGAAAGGTTTTCCTATCGAGGTTTCCTATTTTTGGTTGCAGTTTCCTTCCGGATCATTGCAGAGGATGGAATGGGGTGAGAAGTGGAAGCAGGAGGTGGAGTTCAGTCATGGTTCAGCTCATAAACAGGGTGGGGTTAAGGGTCACGGTGAGCTCTCACTGGTCAGGTCTGGCCTTCTTTGGACCAGCGCCTTTCCTGAACGGGTAAAGCAACATATTAGGTTGGGTATACAGATCGGTACGGTTCATTTTGAAAGGTATAATGGCCACAAACTCACATATCAGGTGACGAGACCGGCCTCTTTGCTGCAGGTTTGGCCGCAGAGCCATCTTTACTGGTTTCTGCAAACATATTTGAATAAAATTAATAAAACAAAACCCATTCCATAGCTTAAAGATCTTTAAATACACCCGTTTCACATTTCCAGGGTTCTCAGAAGTCATTGTCATAGTTGGGTAAACTTAATGAATAGAAGCAACAAATATATTTTTTGCTTCATATTTGTTTCAATAGCAAAAATCCACAACAGCATTAGTATTAGCATAGTGTTATGGTTGTTTTTAAATGTATTGCCATATCAGCTTTATAGGCTATTACATGGCAGATACAAATTCAACATTTATTTTTATAATTTAAATTTAAAAACTTTTATATAAAAATTTTAAATAAAATGCACAAAAGTAACAAAATATAATAAAAAAAATACAATAAATTATAATAAGATAAAATGGTTAAATGGTTATATTTTTATAAAAATAAAAGAAAAACACTTTACAAAAATATAACTACATTTTGTATACACTTATAACTGTATAAAACTCTTTTATAAAATATTTTTAAATGTACCTGTAATGAAAAGCTTTTCATCTAGTCCTTCAAAGTTTGCCCTAATAAAAATCATTCTCTCGCAAAATTAAAATATGGCAGACCTAAATGTTTAAGTTTTATAAATGAACGTTTAAAACTGAATATATATATATATAAGGGCTGTGCGATTTGGAGGAAAATATCAAATTGCGATTTTTTTTTTGATAGATATTGCGATTGCGATTTGATTTGCGATTTTAAATTTGCAAAGTCAAGCTTCAGCTCAATATTGCCAATAATGTGCAGCACAGTATGGGTATCATTACCCTGCTGAAAAAAACAATAGAAACTATCACAGAAATTCTTATAGTTTCCATTAAACCATTACAAAATTCCTTTTTGTTTTGGGCATTATTCCAATAGGAATTACTGTTGTTCTATTGGTTGCCATCTGCCAGATTACATCCCACCAATAGAATCCATCAAATAGACACCATTATAGTTTACATTAAAACCAAACAAATTCCCATTATAACCCTGAAATCCATTACATTTTTTATTGTGTTTTGGGAGGGGTTCTATTGTTTGTTTCTTCATCAGGCAAGATTATAATGGTATAACTACTTTTACAGAATTAACTTAATTTCACAGAAAATATTTGTTTATTTTTTATAAATGAACTGTATTTCTTAAGTCAATTATTAAAGTATTACATTGATTTATTCATTTTAAGTATTTGGGATTTTAAGAGCAAGTGGAAAATGTGCTGAATGTTTTATTTCATCCAAGTGAAATTAGCAAGCAGTTAGACTGAATTTACATTCGTTTTAAACGCGGAGCCAGGCGCGAGTCGACACAGGTTGCGCGCGTGCGTCAAGCCTCATCCATACTGCCAGATGCGCTCGTGAAGACTTGCGGTGCGGAGCCGACGCGGTATTCGCGCCGCGTGGGGCAGAGAGGAGCGAGTATGAGAAGCATTCACAGACACAGGCTGTGTGTGCGCTCTTCTGAATTGGGAATAGCCAACATGCATTATAAACTTATTTCAAATTAATCTGTTGGGGAGATAAAATGTGTAAAATAACGTTCACGTACTAACAAAAACATCTAAGAATGTATCTTTTATTCTCCAGTAGAGATATGCCGGTATCAAATTTTCACGTTACGATTAATTGCTAATGCTTTCATCACGGTATGCGGTATAATCACGATATTGAAATTTAGTTTTAAAAAGTGCTGTCATAATACAGTATAACAGGTTTAATAACTTTTTTCTTATAACAAAAATAACTGAACATTTAAATGCAATAAAGCAATACAGAAAAATGTATAAAGTTAA